TAGTATTGTAACATTATCTTGCTATTGAATAATTCATTTTAGGAAAATATGACTCAACAGGAATTATATAACATCTAAAAAAACATTAAGTAAGTTTTTTGCAGACACCTTTTTATAAAAAAAATTCAAAATAATACTTAAGATTTTTTGAAAATAACTTGAAATTTTATGATCTTTTTTTATGACAAAGTTATGTAAATGGGGTTAGAAGTTTTGTGTATGCATTCATTCCTATATATATATATATATATATATGTTAAATATTGTTTGGTATGAGTTATTATTCTAAGACTTGTTTGGAAAAATAGTATCACCTATTTTTATTGTTTTTAACCTTGATCTCAATATATATTTTTGCAACAGACCCTTGTAAGTAGATGCACTATGTCTACTATCCAGTGTTACTTGGTGTAGATGCTTGCATAGTGGTGAATTGTATATTAATAAATCAAAAATGCATATTCTATACAGAACATTTTGAAAATAATTCTTCAACAGGTTATTTTAAAATAAATCTTAGGTCTTTAAAATCAATTCCAATACCAACATTTTCATACATAAAATGATGCTCATGAGAAATAGTAGAGAGAAAAGTTATTTCAATCATTTTATTAATGAAATGCAGAATATAAGCAAACATTTACAAATCTACTTTCACTTAATAAGTTTAACTAGTAACTTTTTCAATATTTTATATTTAAAAAAAAAAATCATCACCTATGAATTGATATATTCTCAGAAGAAAATTTCTAAATTACAAAACGTAAATATTAGTAATACTTGCATAATATGAAATATGCATATCTACATTGAAATTATTTTACAAACATTTCTGCTTTTCAATAGAACCAGATTTATGAATTTACAATTTGTAGAAAACAATTTTTATGAATAAAGTTCATTTATTTAGATTCTGAACTGAATTTTCAATTAGTAATTTGGAAATGTTTTGAAGAAGAAAAGTTATTTTTATGTATATATTTTCCACACCTATTGTATGCAAATGGCTAATGAATTCCACTCCAGTTAATCAGGAGAAAGTTTTTATTATTTCATTGTTCTTTATATAATCATTCATGTATATAAGTAGTACCTATTTATACCACTAACATTTGTACAAAAGGATACATTTACTCAGATTTCTTTATATTCATGAATATGTAAAAATTAATTTCTCTGAATTTGTTTGGCATATTGTCTTATACGTAGTGACTTTTACCAGTAGGTTTTACCATTGAGCTTCAGTTTAAGAATTTTTATTCTGGTTATTAATATGCGCTTACATTAATTAATCTGTAGGATTAGAAAAAGAAGAGACCATTTGTCTCAGAATAGCTTTGAACAAAATATCAGTGTTCTGCTTTGATCAATAGATTAGAAAATATCTGTATTTATTATTCCATGAATTAGACAAATATCTTCATTTTACAATTTTCCTTTCTCTGAATGGATTGATGAAAAATTTTTTTTTTTTTAAAATACATTGTAGACAATTATCAAAGCTCTAGTATGCATCTGAAAAATGCAAAGTGTTTGTCCTTCCCTCAAGTAGTAATCTCTTTAGTTTCTTCCATTAAGCAAAATAGGTTACAAGATGAGTAGCAACATTTCTCACATTCTACTTTTGAGATTTTTCTTTGCTTTATTCAAATTTCACTGTTTTTGCGTTAAGAAAGATCTACCATTTTCTTGAAGTTTATATAAAACAACTTCATTTGTTACTGATGAATTACAGGAATGTTAATGTTATGTGGCAGATTAGCTGTAATCTCTTATCTTATTTTGTTGAGATAATGTTTTTAAGCATGCATAGAATGGGTAGGGGTGCTCTTGTCAGGATTTTTTGTTTGTGTAAAATTTATTTTAACCTTTATGAAGCATTCTTTACATCTAACAGACTTCACTGCTCTTAGTCTTTTAACATTTTTTTTTTTTTTTCTGCCAAATATATTAAATGCATCTAAAATATATTTCATATATAAATATATTCTTTAGTTTAAATTTTTTGTTAAATGTTTTACCATATATAACTTATTGTTTGGGTCTTATTCATGCACACAAAAAATAATTTGCAGTACTTCATGTTTACATATAGTAATTTTTCTAAAATAGTTTATATTTCTTTTAAGATCAGGAAAAACAACTTGCTGACAGAACTCAGTCTCATAACCTAAACTTATATAGTTTGTGACACTAATATGCAAAATTTTCATGTAGGCTGAATAACATAGTTTTTATGTGTAGCCTTTTGAGATCCCATGATGATTTCTGTATAAACCATAATGATCTAGATATGCTCTTTGAGGACCAACTACTAAAATTTCTTTGTACATTGTATATCTCCACAAACAAATATTGATGAATAGATACTTAATGGCATTTTTACAAATAATAATACTCTACCTATTATTATAAGTTCAAATTTCAGAAATGAAATGACAATGTAGAAGTAACTGATATGCTTTGTGTTCTCTACAGTTAATCTGTTCTAATCACTGCAACAATCAACTTTTTGACTGTGATCATTGCTACTTCTGTAACACTTTTTGAGTCATTAATCCCAACATGTTGATTATGGGAGTTTACATTTCTTTTGTACTGTGGGTTCAATTTAACCCATAACCAATGAGAGCATTGGGAAGACATACTGAATAATTGATCTTTATGGCATATCTTAGCACTAATGTAATTACTTAGCAGTGCCCATTTCTTTGAGAAGCATGAAATAAGTTGTATTGTGTTACATGGTACCAGAACCAAGGAATAATCCCTGACATGACCTATTCTTTGGAAAGACAGTTTTCTGTTACTTTCTTCAGGTTTTTTTTGTTTTTTTCCAGAATAATCCTTCTCCTAGACTGGCTCTACTTAATGCTAGGGAGGAGAAAAGATGGATTCATGCTTTTCCCAAGATCATTAGTGCAAAAGTGAACATAGCAAACTCATTCTACCAATTCCACTTTCTATGATAGTCAATTATGACATAAACATGAAGTAAATATATTATTCCTTTGTGCACTTAATTCTCTCTCTTGACCTTTTGACTAGCATCAAAATGTTTTTTATTCATTATAGAGCAGAAAGTAATTTTGAGTTATAATTTTTAGGTTTCAAAATGTACATGTCCAAAAAGAATATATGTAAAATTTTGCCAAAAATGTCATTTGATCATAAAAACAAAAAAATAAATTTTACATTCAAAATCCAGAGTGATCTGTTTTCCACTTTTCAAAAGGCAAAAAAGTTTTTCTAAAAACAAAAAAAACTTTAGGGTTGATTTTAACCTTGATAGACACAGAAATTAATAAAATAAAAAATAAAATTTTTGTCCTACATTTCTTTTGTCTTTTTTTTTTTAAGAGTACAAATTTTAAAATATTGCTTTTTTTTTAAAGTCATAATTGTTCATACTATTTTCAGTTTTAGGTTCTTAGAACACCTAAAAGAATGATAAAAAAATATTTTGAAAACTCTTTCAGATTCATTTTAATTAAAAGAAAATACCCAGCAAACAAAATTGACAATTTTAATGCAAAATTAATATAATTAACATAATTGAACCAGTTTTCTTTTCTATTTAGTAACAACTGTATCCAATTATTTCCGTTATCTTGTTCTATTCACTGGGATATGAAAGAAACTTTGGTTAATATCTAGCATTTTGTTTTATATGATCAATGATAATATACTCCAGTAGATTAAAAAAATATAATTAAAAAGAAAATAACATTATTATAAAATTTTAGGAAAAAGTTAAGCATATGATTGTCTTAAAAATATTTACAGTTCATCTCCAGTGAATAAACTCTGGGCAAATTTGATAACAAATAAAAATGTTTTGTAACGTATATTTTTTCACAGTTGGATTATCCATTGTTTGAAAACCTTTCAGTTTATTATATGGTTGACTAGGAGAAAATTCTTATAGCTGCAATGAAAAACTTTGCTGATTGAATTTTCATTGCTGTTAGCTATCACTATCAGTAAGTATTGACAGAAAAAAAAAAAGAAATTCACTTTTTTTTTCTTCAGTACTGGCCATCATTCTGAGCACGATGATGCAGTTTTATTTTTCTCTATTCTAATCATGTAATCGGAGAGAAAAAGAAAAACTTAAAACTTGATAAAATTGATTTAAAAAAAAAAAAAAAATCAAACTATTATCAATACTATCCAGTTGCATAATTTATATTGAGTATTTTTTTCTAGTTGTTTAAAATCTAAACTTAATGTTGAAAATACAAATTAATCTTCAAGACTGACTGAGAGCATTATATTTTTATATTCAGTTTTAACTAATTTGAGTCAATACTTCGTTCAATCAAACCTTTTCAAAATGATCTTCATTTTATAATCAACACATTATATATATATATGTGGTCTACTTTTTTAAGTGCTTATTGAACCTGGTTCTTTATACAGAATTAACATTTCAAGTTTCTATATTTAGTTTTATTTTGGTCTCATAACTTTTTCTAAGATTAGTTATTTCTTACTGGATCATGACACATTTTCAGATTTAAAAACAAAAAAAGTTTGCTTTGTCTCTTCTATTTTGAAGGAGTCGATGTTTAATAAGCTAATAATAAAACTGAATTTATTTTTATGTATAAATTCTCTTTTAATATAGATTAAATGTGTAAAAACATCGAAGATTTAAAATATTAGCTGATAATTTTTTTTAATGGTCAGGTCAATTGCTGATTTTTTTTTTGATTTTTTTTTATAACTTAAATAATAAAAATTATAATTTTGAATATTTTTATTCTTGTTTTTGTCTGTTCACATACAGTAATCTTTCTGAAGATCTTGTTGATAGAAATGTCTTTACTATTTATTAAGAGAATATAAATTTGTAAATAACTTATCTATAAATACATTTATATCTGCTAAATGTACATTTAAATTTTGGCTGTTAAAAATTGCAGTTTAGCATTTTTATTCTCATTTTGATTTATTTTTCTGTTTAATTGACTTGTGTTTTCTCTTATACTTTTTAGTTGTCACAGCCCAGAATATGTCTGGCGCTGCCATGTATGAGCTGGTGAGAGTTGGACATAGTGAACTAGTGGGTGAAATCATTCGATTGGAAGGTGACATGGCCACTATCCAAGTCTATGAAGAGACATGTATCCTTTTTATATGACTTAGAAAATTAAAATTTGTTTATATATAATATAAACACAATGTTTTTATGCAAGTATTAATTGACTAATTGAAACTAAATGAAACTTTGACCCAAGAATTGGAGTTGCAATAGAAGTTTTTCATTATGTATTTTTAACCTCTCAAAGTAAGCTACCTTAACATCTTGCATGTGAATTCTAAAAGATGGATATAAATATTTAAAATTTATTTACTGTTGATGTTATGAAAATCTGAAAAGGCAAACTTTGTATACAGCTTCATGAACATGTTGAAATAAAAAAAATAATCTTATTTAAGATCATTCTTTGATAAAATGAAATGGAAAGACAATATTGTCTTTCCATTCTATTTTTAAAATCCATGATAGTTTACATAATATAGAATCTATGTTTGTAGGATGCATAATAATATCTGTTTATCTCATCTTCACATAATATAGGATCACAAATAGCTGTTACTGTGTAATATTAGCTCACTTCATCCCCATGTCCTTTAACTCGGAGATAGTCTCCATACAGTAAATTGTATTGGTTTTGAGTTTAATTCAAAACACAATTTATCAATGTAAGATAATGTAACATACTAAACAAACTTTTTAATCTCTTAAAATATCTTAGTTATTGTGTTATTGTGTTCCGTTCTACTAACCTTTTGTAAAATGATGAAATCCTTCCTAACAGGTAAGTCTTCCAGAGCCCGAGAGGTCAACACAAGCATCCCCCAGACCACCCTTCTTTTCTTTTTTCTACATAAATGGTCTGCCTAAGAATATACTCGGGTCTTTTATAAACATCCATGCTGATGATATGTCTTTATACAGGTGCACCACTAAAACTCCCAATGGTCAGAGATTGGTGACTGATCACTCTTCTGATCTCATACAAACTACTCAATGGGGTAAAAACTGGCTGGTTACATTCAATGCCTTGAAGACCAAGCTAGTCATTGGGGTCAGATTGGCAATGATGGAATGCATTCCATCATTGCCGACCTGACCCCGAACTACTACCAATCAGGATGAATGGAGGTCCTCCGAGGGAAGCACCATACCTTGAAAGACTGTTGGGCCTTAAATTCACACATTTCCTCAAGTGGAACTTATACATACGATCTATTGCTAATGATGCAGGTAAAATAGTTGGCTCTCTGTACCTTTCCAGTAAGTACCCGACTCCTCCTACTGTCCTCTACCTTTACAAGAGCCAGATCAGGCCAAAAATGTGATACTGTCATCATATTTGGATAGGAGCTCCCCAGCCCTCACTCTCCAGCCTTGATAGAGTACAAAAACGTCTCTGAGCCCTTGTGGGTGACAAATTATTCTCCACTCTTCAACCACTTTCCCACAGACAGGATGTGGCAAGCCTCTTGCTGCTCTACCACTACTTCCACGAAAAGTGCTCAGACGAACTACATTCCCTAGTCCCGCCAAGGCAAACCTTCACAGCAAGAATACGACATGCCACTTACATATTAATAAACCACCCACGTTCCTCCATATTCCATCAGTGAGAAGTAAGTTCCACTCAAGCAACTTCCTGCAAACCACTGCCAACAGAATGTTTCTCCGATCATTACAATCAACCTGTTCAAGGCTAGGGTTAACAATTATCTTCCACTCCTATACATACAAATGACCTCCAAGCATAACCCTCTACCTTGAGTGGTCCCCGAGCCTTGTAAAGGGTGAACTTGTAAAAAAAAAAAAAAAAAATGTAATCCAACAGAAGCAACTCTAAAGTTTCCTTTAACTCTCTTCTAGCTGGTGTAACAGTAGGTGATCCTGTTTTGAGAACAGGCAAACCGTTATCTGTGGAGTTGGGACCAGGAATAATGGGAAGCATTTTTGATGGTAAGTTCTTATATGTAATGTGAAAACAAAATAACTATGCAAATATTTTCTCTTAAAACTCTTTTAACAAAATTTATTTTGTAGTAAAATTTCACTTAAAAATATTTAAATTTCAAATTTTGGTTTAAAAATCGATTGTGAACAATTTTTCAGCTTTTATCAGGTCGGTGCAAAAGTGATGTCCAATTTCAAGGTCTATAATAAAAATGAAAAAGCCCATGATTATGAAAATATTTATTCATTAACATAAATTCCTTTGTTTTCTAGAACATCATTCCATCTGTGAACAAGCTTATAAATGCCATGTCTGTAAAATTCCTTAGGTTTTGAAGCAAAATATGAATCCAACTCATTTTCAGCTTCTCTTGATGTCAACCTAAGACCATCCAAATGATTCTGTAGTCCTCGAAACCAGTGATAATCAAAAGAAGTAAGGTCAAGAGAATATAGTGGACGAATCAATATTTCCCAACCAAGCTCTTCCAAAATATTTTTAGTCAGCCAAGCTGTATGATGATGAGCCTTAATGTGATGGATTATGACACCCTTTCTGTTCACTAAGGAAGGTCACGTTTGGTTCAAAGCTGTTTTCAAATAACAAAGTTGATTACAATACAGATTAGTTGTAATTGATTGTTGTTTAACAGTTCATAATGGACAATTCCTTCAATATCCCACCATACACTCAACATGATCTTCTTTGGATGGAGTCCTCCTCTTGGTTGTTGAACTGATCTTCCTCCTCAACTGATCCATGATTGACTGCATTTAACGTTATGGTAAAGGATCCACTTCTTATCACCTGTAACAAGCCAATCTAAAAATGGTGCCTGAAAGTGTCCTGAAAGCAGTGATTCACATACTGTTGCAGATTCTATAGAGACTGTGTGGGACCCATTTCCCAACCAGTGAAACCTTTCTGATCCTTTTTAATTGGTATAGCATGGTTGTATGGTCTGTGTTAAATTGTTCTGCAAGTTGTCTAGAGGAAATGGTGGGATTGCCTGTGATAACAGCTTCCAACTCTTCAGGATCAAGTTTTTTTTTTTTTTTTTGGATGACCCTCTTTTTGCTCATCTTTCAAATTGAAATCTCTACTTCAGAAATCAGGAAAACCACCACCTGCAACTTCTTTCATTCACTGCATCATCTCCATAAGCTCTCTGAATAGACTTTGCTGCTACATTTGCATTAACACCTTTATGAAACTCATACGATATGTCAAATGTAATATTTAGATGGGGTAGATCATGAAAAATATTTTTTAAATTTGAAATAGAAAGGTATAAATTACTTATTGTGACATTCCTTAACCATAATGAGAAGCACAAATTTCCTAAATGCTATCTAAAACTTTCTTCTCAAAAATCAAACATTACTTTTGCCCCATCCTGATATAATTTCTTAAAAACTTTAAATAAAAATGTAAGAAAAATGTATTTAAATATAAACACCAAAGTACTTATGAAAATACATTTTTTTTTAAATTTGTATTTTTGTTTAAAAAAATTATATTTTAAGAATATGTAAAAAGAACCAGATGTATTGCAGTGTATAATCTATAGAAATAAACCAGAAAATTACTTTTACACATATTCTAATTTCTGAAATACTTTATCACCCATTGATGTTGGAGAATGTAATAGTTGTAACTGTAATTCAACATTCTAGATAGGTGGATAAGTCTAGACTATAATATTAGTTCTTTTCTCCTTTTTTTTTTTTTAAATAATTTTCTTTCACTTTTAGGTATCCAGCGTCCCTTAGAAGATATTTCTGATCTTACTAATAGCATTTACATTCCAAAAGGCGTTAACACACCAGCTTTGGACAGATCTAAGAAATGGGAATTTGAACCCCAAAATATCAAGGTATTGCTTTACATATTTGAATCATTTTGTTTTAACTATAACAAAATTTTATTGGATTAAAATATTAACTTTTTACTTTATAGAAGAAAAATGAAAATTCTTAATATTCAATTATTTTCCCATCAATAATATAATTTCTTTTAGCAGAATTATTTTGCCACAATTCTTATATTTTGAACAATTTTTATTGATTTAAAATATTTTAAATTCTTTTTGCAGATTGGTAGTCATGTGACAGGTGGAGATATCTATGGTATTGTATATGAAAATATTCTAATTAAGCACAAACTTATGTTGCCTCCTCGTTGTAAAGGAAAAGTCACTTATATTGCTGAACCAGGCATGTATGATTGCAGTGTGAGTATTTTTTTCTCTGTTTGAGTAAGAAAGCTATGGGCATAATGATTATTTTACATCTCATATTCCCAAGGGGCAATAGAAAGATCTAGGAGTGTTGTTCTATGAGAAGGTGGTAAATGCTTTAGCAATCTAGCCACAGATGCTTGTCTGGCAACAACATATCTAATGACATCTAAGAAAAGCCATAGAATAGGATTAGAATTTTGAAAAGTTTTTTCTTGATTATGTATTGCAAAACATTCAAAATCTATGTAAGACCCTTCAAAAAAATAAAATAAAATAGAAAATAAAGCAAAAGCCAAGATGAAAAAAAATTGAAGTTTTAATCTTAGTTTTAATTTCACGATATATTAAATTTAATAGTCCAAAAAAGAAAAATACTTTGTATTTTAAACCAAATTTAGACTGATTGGAATTTTTTTCCTTGGTAAAACTACTGATTTCATTCATATTGAGATTTGTCAACTCAAAAATTGAACTTTTTACCTTTTTTTTATCTTTTTGAAAAAAAAGTAAAATATACTTTTCTTAAATTTTATTCAAGGAATATTACTTAATTAAAATTTTTAACTGTTTTTGAAAAATATATTGTTTATAGTTTGCTTAATGAAATTTTAAATTTTTTTTTTTTTTTTTAACATGGATGGGTTGGCATTTTACCTGAATGATAGCACTCTGACCTTAAAAGTTTGTGGTTACTCCTCAATACAGACTCCCCTGTCCCTAGCCCACTACTGCTACTTATGAGACAAGGGGATATAGAAGAGACAAACATGGTGAAATTTCTGTATGTATGTATGTGTGTGTGTATATATGTATATATATATATACACACTCATACCCACCCCAAGTTTCAAGGTTGGTACACAAATAAAATTCCAATAACCAAAATCACTATTCTTAAAAGGGTGTTCAATGCTAAGTAGAGCTAATAATATTTATTCAAAATTATAGCATATGCATGTTATAAGATCACTACAAAAGTTGCAATTTTGTTTCAACGCTGTTGGTGTCTTATCAAGTGATGATGCTGAATGAAAAATAAATGATTTTACCCAAAAAAAAACAAAAAACAAAAGGTTTATTTTCCATTGAACATCATCACTTGATAACACGCCAGCAGTGTTGAAACTAAATTGCAACTTTTGTAGTGATCTTATGACATGTATATGTCAAAAATGTGAAATATATACACGCACTTTAAAATCAGGAGGTCAGTTGAATCTGCTATCTTGGTTCCAACCTCACGGTATCCTCAGGTGATTTTTATCAAATGACCTCTTAACACTTTATTTTTTTTTTTTTTTTTTCTTAAACTAATGAATGATATATTATTTTAAAAAAAATGAACAAACAAATGCACGATGTTGGATGTGAAGAAGAAAGAAGGGGGAAAAGAAGAAAAGCAAGGGTATTATATATCAATGTTGTTGGGGTCGGGTAATTGAAATGTACTTTTTTTTTTTTTTTTTTCATCCAACCTCATATGTGCTTAAGAGGAATTTCCTAATATGTAAGCAAGGACTCAAGACTTTGGATTTCTGGTTCAAAAGGTTCTATGGATCCGAAAATGTCATAATTACTAATTTTTCCTGTTGGCAGAAATTGCAAATATTGTTGCGGTTGTTATAAGGCTTAGCCTTTTTTTAAATTTTCCAGCTTACAATTTGATCCCTGTTGTTTCTTTTTTTAAATACCACACATGGTCAACTAGTTTGGTAGGGTACCTAAGATTTACTAGCTTGAATGACGGCCTATGATTGTATCACCTATGTTTTAAAGTACCTTCAGTACATCCTATGTATCTTCATGAAATTGATAAAAAAAAGCATGATAAGAACAATCTTAAACTTGATGAAAAAATTTATCATCTAAAAAAATACTTTGAAAGTATTTTTTGATTTTTTTTTTTTTTTTTTTTTTTTTTAAATTTTTAATCCTTCTTAACATGTCCGAAATTTTGGTTAAAAATCTTTTTTTTAATTTGTTACTCCTATTTAGAACATTCAAAATGTTGATTAAAAAAAACTTGTTTTTCTTGCATTGGCAGTTGTACTAACTTTAAGTATAGCAAATTTTCACCTTTTTTTTTGCAGTGACAGGCACATTAATTTGGAAAGTCTTGCAAAATTCAAATAATTCTTGGAGTGAAATTTTCAGGACTTATTCACAAATGAATGAAATTATTTTTGGAATTTTTTTAATTAGAGAATCTTACTTAAAGCTTCAGGAATACAAGATAATTTGTAGTGACTATATTAGTTAAAAGCAGAATTTTTTGAAGAATTGAAATCACTGATTTTATTTTGTAAAATCAGACCCGGTCTTACTGAAATCTGTTCTGGATCAAAAAATAAAAAACATAATAAATATTCTATTTAAGTAGAGAAGCTTTTAATTGCTTTTATGAATAATATATATTAAAAACAATATTGTCTGAAGAAAAAAAAACTTTTTTGATGAAAAATTAATTTTTACAAGACCTGTTTCCATTTTTTTACAATTTAAAATTGAATAATTTGTAAAAATGTTGCATCTTTTAAAGTTCAACTTCGAAGAGATAATAGCAATATCTGTTAAAAATTAAGTAAAACTGTATTTACCAATCCTATATTTTAAAGCTTATTACAACCCTGACTATTTTTATTTTTCCGCCATCGATTAACAAATCAGAAAATAAATTAACACATCAGAAAAACCACATAATCTTTTCATACTTCCTGGGGTTATCCATTCATTTGAAATAACCATTTTTATAGACACAAGATCAATTTTAAATTTTATTTGTACATACTGGTTGTTTGCGAGTTGTAATAAAGCTGTATAAATTATCTGTAAAGATATTTCTACTTAATAACACCATTGCCTAAAATAAACCTCTTTTTCACTAATTTTAAAATATTTAACAACTTTAATGTAAAAAAAAAAAAAAAAAAAAAGAAATGACAAATAAGTGTTGTAAAAATTTATTTTTCACTGAAAACAATTTTGTCCTTCAGACAATATTGTCCTTATTCATAAAAACAACTAAAAGCTTTTGAAATTAAATAATATCTTTGTTTTATTGAGTTTTTCATGTTAGAATCTGGTTTTAATTCCAGATTAGCTTTAATTTTTGTACAGCACCCAAGTCCATGAAATGATTTTCACTATCAGAAACTGATATGAGGTTAAATGTATTGAACACAGATTTGATAGGAATTTCAAAAAGGTTAATTTTATATCCAATTAAATTTAATTTCTCAATTATCTGAAACATAACACCTACCAGAAAATGTTCTATTTCAAAATGAAACATCATAAGTTTACTCATCAGTTAAATGAATTGTACTTCTAGATGTGCTCATTGCTGTGATGTTTCAGACACATGTAGCTTTTCAATTCATTCCCAAGTCAAATGCGATATTAATGCTATACCCGATGTTGTATCAAATTGGAAATGAACTGGTTTTTTGTTTACAGAAACGACAATATATTTTCTGGTATTTTAAGGTAATGTCTTTGTCCTGTTCCAGTTTTGAAAGAAGTCTGGAGTGAACATCAGTATGAGTAGAAGATTTTAATTTTGTGATAAGAATCAAGCATTTAAACTGTTCCTCTGTGAGGGAATTTAATTTTTTCCCATTCTTCATTGACGTAACCAGCAAATAACCAGTAAAAATGGAACTAGATAAGTTGCCTAACATTGAAAAGACTATCAAAGTCATAAAGTGTGGTAAAGCAGCAGGAGTTGATAGTCCCACCTGAAATTTGAAAACTTGGAGATCTGTTGTTGCATATGAAACTCCATGAGCTCTTTTGCTGTTGCTGGGAGCAGGGAAAACTACCACAAGATCTCCACTATGTAGTCATAATTACCTGGAACAAGAACAAAGAGGAAAAATCTGACTGCTTCAATTACTGAGGGATTACTTCGCCCTTGATCGCAGGAAAAATCCTTGCAAGGATTCTGCTGAACAGACTGGTACATGTCATCACTGAAAATCACCTTCAAGAAATTCAGTGTGGCTTCAGGAGCACAGCAGACATGGTGCTTTGTTGGGGAGCAAAACAAGGCGCTGTATGTGGTGGTCATTGATCTGACAAAAGAATTTGACACAGTGAGCAGAAGAGGAATGTGACAGATCATGGGGTGAATTGGGTGTCCTAGAAAGCACATGAACGTGATCATACAGCTGCATAAGGATGAACGTGGCCAAATTAGACACAGGAGTGAACTCTGAGCCCTTCTCAATCACCAAAGCAGGGTTGTGTTCTGGCACCAACTTTCATCACTATCTTCTTCTGCATGATGCTCAAACAAGCCATGAAAGATCTTGGGGATGGAGTCTACATCAGATGCCATCTTGATGGTGGCCTGTATAATCTATGACGATTAAAAGCCCACGGAGACACTGAAGTAACTTATCTGAGACCTCTGCTTTGCCAACAATGCTGCCCTTGTCCACACAGAAAGATTTTTGCAGTGCACCACTTCCTGCTTCACAGAGGCTGCTCAACTTTTTGAACTTGAAGTCAATTTAAAAAAGACAGAGATACTCTACTCTCAGGATGAATACCACCCTCTCCACATAATTATTGGCACAACTGATGTGAAGGCAGTCCATCAATTTACCTACCTTAGATATACTATCACATCAGATGCTGGGATCAACAAGGAGGTTGACAACAGACTGACAAGGGTGAGCATTGCATTTGGCAGACTATACAAATGTGTGTGGTACAACAGACACTTGAAGAAGGGCACAAGATTGGAGTGTATAGAGCTATCGTCCTTGCCACTCTCCTATACAGCTCAGTCATGGGTCACTTACCAGCACCACCTATGATGCTTCGAATGGTTTCACCAGTGCTGCTCCCCTGCAATCCTTAACATCCACTGGAGTAACTTTGTCACCAATATTGAAGTCCTTGAAAAGGCAAAGATCACCAACATTGAGGCCATGCTGCTGAAGACCCTGCTACACAGGGCTGGACACATTTCCAGGATGGAGTATCATCGCCTGCCTAAAATTTTAATGTATGGCAAGCTTTCCACTGGCTGTCACAGCAGAGGGTCCCCAAAGAAGCAATTCAAAGATTGCCTAAAAAAATCTTTTGGTGCTTGTCATATAGACCATTGCCAATGGTTTACCCTAACTGAGAACTGTGACACCTGGCTTCTCACCACCGATCATGCTGTTTCTTCCTTTGAAAATAGCTGCAGGGCTGCTCTCAAGGACAAGACAGAGGAGGAAGTACTGCAACGCTGTGCCATCAAGCCCAAGTCAGACCTTCAATTGCAACTGCTGTGATTGTGTATGCCTGTCCTGCTTTGGCCTTACAGTCACAAATGTGCCTGCAATCAACATGAACAAGCCATGAGGATTGTAAAGCCAAACCATGATGATATGCACACACACAAAATTAAACAAAATATTTTAAGAAAGTTCATATCAAATGACAGGTAGTATAAAAATCCAGTTTTTATCAGCATAATAGTATAAATCTTTTTCTCATCCACTTCTACTTACAAATAATGTTGGCATTCATTAAGTTGACATTTAAAATCAAAAAATGTTAAAAAAAAATTGTGATATCTCTTAAATTATTTGTTCTGTAATGATTTATTTTTAATTATAGGATGTGGTTCTTGAAACTGAATTTGATGGCGAGAGAACCAAATACAGCATGTTGCAAGTATGGCCAGTGCGACAGTTGCGGCCAGTTGCAGAGAAACTGGCTGCTAATTATCCTCTTCTCACAGGCCAGAGAGTGCTGGATGCTCTTTTCCCGTGAGTCCACAATTTTAAAATTATTTGTTATATAAAACTCTAAAAAGATAAATCATTTAATAAATGCTCCACTTTCTATATCTTTACTATAGCAGAATCAATGGTGTTCATATATTTTACTTTTAGACAATTGTTAAATCAAAGAGATTCTAACATTTTAATTATACTTGGTCTTGCTCCCAAACAGAGGTCAAAATGCTGTGGAGGTGTAAAAATAGCTATTAATACCAGAAATTCATTTTTGAGAAAAAAAATTTTTTACCAGAAATTCATTTTTGAGAAAAAAATTTTTTACCAGAAATACTTTTATGAAGGAAAAAGTTATATTATCTGCAATAGATTTTTTTTGAAAAAGAAAAAAGTATATATTATCTGCAATAGATTTTTGAAGGAAAAAAAAAATTATTAGCAATAAAAATTGTCTGCATTAAATAACCCAATTGAAGTTGATATGCCATAAAACAAATCAAACCAAGCCATATACTTGAACTTGTCCAAATCAGTCTATTGTTTACTGATTTAAGTCACTTTTAAGAGAGATGGCAACCACAGTAAATAAAGATTTAGACAATAAAACTGACTTATCTATCTAACCTAAAACAATTTCTAATTAAAGCACTTTCCTAGTTTACTAAAATTATTGAAGTTTTCTTTTTTTTTTTTTTATAAAAGAATTTAAAGAATAAATTTAAGAAAAAAATGTATATTAATTCTCTAAATTTGTTGTTGTTGCAATGTAATTTCACTTTTAGATCAAACTCAATTTCTTTTTAATTAAACTTTATTCAAAATCAGACATACATGCAAGTTTTTGTTGTTCTGCAAAGTGTAAAGAATGATGTATTTTCTTGATTCAGTGGTGTCCAAGGTGGAACAACAGCTATCCCTGGAGCTTTTGGTTGTGGTAAAACTGTAATCTCTCAGTCCCTTTCCAAATTTTCCAACAGTGATGTCATCATCTATGTTGGTTGTGGTGAACGTGGTAATGAGATGTCTGAAGTATTGAGGGATTTCCCTAAGGTCAGTAATTACAAATCTATTAATACTCTAGTAATATATTTTCATCTTTAAATACATCAACTAAGTTAATAAAAGTGCTTCAAAAGTAGCACATGTTTTAGTGAAGCTTTAACAGTCTTCTCCATTGATGATTTTATATCCTACAGTAAAATATTAATTTATATTGATGTTTTTTTATAAGATTAGTTAGTTATTGTAGAAGACAATGTTCTAAACTGAGCACACATTGTGGGTGCTTTGTGTAGTGCGATGGTTAACACATCATGTTGAAACACACTAGTTCCCATACAATCACTGAAGTTAAGCAACATTGAGCCTGGTCAGTACCTAGATGAGTGACCACTTGAGAATACCAGGTGCTGTAAGCTTGGATGTATGAGTGGTGTAATGTATAATAGCTTGAAATTGTTAATCGAAGAGCAGAGTTCCAGTTCCTGTTGTGTTTGTTATATTCACTTACGCACAGGTACTCTTGGGGAAAGGTATGAATCCACTTCTTCTCCCTCCTAGCTATGACTTAATTATTAAGACCTTTATCACTAAACCATTATTATTACTCCCTGTAAAAAAAACAAATCACTCTCTTTAGATTGTTCATAATTATGTGGTCAATCCTTACAAAGTGCCTTGCTATTTTGACATTGTTCCAAGCTAAACTAATTTTAGGATCTACTTAGAGATAATCTATTGTTTTATTTATTCTTAATCAAAATGGAAAAGGATTAAAAATGTACTCATATTCATTGTTTTTTAGCTGACTATGGAAGTTGGTGGGAAACCTGAGAGTATCATGAAGAGAACAGCTTTGGTAGCCAATACATCTAACATGCCTGTAGCAGCTCGTGAAGCTTCTATCTACACAGGTAATAATTCTGACACAAATCAGATTAATTTACTAACAAGTAAATGAAAGCCAGTAACATTTATTCCATATATTTTGGGACTTCTCCATTGTCATAATCTTTTGTTGATTTTATATATTGTTTGGCCTTTTTAAATGGATGCTACATCTAGTGATTTTCTGAAGTTTGTGTAACTTCAGAAAATCACTAGATGTACTCTTTTCTTTTTTCTTAACTAGAACACCATAGTCATAAAACTGAATATTAAGGTTTTCAGGTTAACATAAAAACATACAAAATTGGAAGAGCTTTGTTTATTCTTGTTAAGGAATCTGCTCATTTTGTTCATAGTGTCAGGACTGAAATTCCTTAAATGATCATGCAATGATTTTATATGGGAGGCCCTAACTGCTAAAATTTTTTTTTTTATTAGTAGAACTGATATCTTTTTGCTTATTTCATGTTGAGGAAGGCATACCAAACATTCTGTATTTCTTTCAGCCCAAGCAGAAAAGTTTACTAAACATTGCCAGCCAGTTGTCTGATAGTATTAATGAATTTGCAAATTTAACTAGTTTAAATCTACAGATTTCATCAAAATAGTTTCTAATCAAAGATTTTCTATAGCTTAGCAAGAATGCAACAAGTCATACATTATTAATAATTAATATGTAAATTGTTTCCCTCTTAATATTCTTTATTGATCATATTAATATTGTTTATTGCAAATCATGAAGAATTTTGTAATTGAAACTTCAAAGTGATAGTTATCAATCAATTTTGGTTTATGAGCAGCATTACATCTGACTGATTTGTATATGGATTCCTTAAAAGCTGAAAGATCAAGGGTTTTTTTTCTATTTGAGAATTTTGAAAACTTTACATTTTTATGAAATTGATTTGTTTAGCACTTTGATCCATATAAGTGTAAATGTTCCAGAAAAATATATATTCATATTGCTTCATTCATTTAATGCAAAATAAAATGCTTAATAGTGGGTGACCCATATAGATATTTATGACAAAAACTATGCTCATCTTTTTCTCCTCTCCATTTTCAGGTATCACATTGTCTGAATACTTCAGAGATATGGGTTATAATGTATCCATGATGGCTGACTCCACTTCTCGATGGGCTGAAGCTCTAAGAGAAATCTCTGGTCGTCTGGCTGAAATGCCAGCAGATTCTGGCTACCCAGCCTATCTTGCTGCCAGGCTGGCTTCCTTCTATGAACGAGCTGGCAGAGTCAAATGTCTTGGCAACCCAGCACGTGAAGGCAGTGTCAGTATTGTTGGAGCGTAAGTTTTCTCTATCTGTATGTTTGGTTTTTGCAGCTTTACATCAGACAAAAGATAGTCTGAAAACATTTAGCTGTTTATTGTATATACAAAACAGTAAAAATAATTTAATACCTTGACATTTTTAATTTATAAGAATGTTTTAATTATTTAGAAATCATGTACTTTTGTCATTAATAAAAAAAATGGATATAATGGCCTTTTTTTCTCTTGTCAATAAGAAAATGTTTGTGAGAATAAGAAGCTTTATTTAGTCAGTTAGCAAAGTGGTGATTGTTAAATCTAATAGATTGTTAATAATTGCCACAGTTACAAGTGCATATGTCAGTGTGATAAAGGCACCTACATATACACATGCATTCCATTAAATAAATAAAAAGTTCCCAGCAACCTTTAATTATTCTTAATTATCACATCATACATTTTTTGCAAAGAAAAAATTATTTAAAAAGAATGTAATATGAATGAATTTAAATATTAACTTCTTGGTACATGCTTACAGAATATAGATTTGAAATCATTTTGAATGTAATCAAAATGAAATTTTAATTCTCTTAAATTGCAATAAATGTTCTTTCAGTGTCTCGCCTCCTGGTGGTGATTTCTCTGACCCTGTTACCTCTGCCACTCTGGGTATTGTTCAAGTATTTTGGGGATTGGACAAAAAACTAGCCCAGCGCAAACATTTCCCTTCCATCAACTGGCTGATCAGTTATAGTAAATACACACGTGCACTTGATGAATTTTATGACAAAAACTTCCAAGAATTTGTGCCCCTCAGAACCAAAGTAAGAAAATTGATTTTTTTTTTCTTCTTTTTACTGTTTTTCAATATTTTTAATTTTTAGATTAAATTCTAAATGAAAAGAGAATGTCATCAGAAATTAGATGTTTTGATAGGTTTCTCTTGTAATAAATTTGACATTTCTTTTCAAAATTTGTTGGTTTATACTAAATTTGGCACAATGAAGTATTAATAGATCATACAAGAAATCCATTATAGTAAGTTTCCTCATTTCATGATATACTTCTTCATGAAATGAAGAACTTTACCACTATTCATTTTTGTGTGCCCCATAAATACTTCATTGTGCCAACTTTGGTATAAACCAAGTATTATGAAGTGATGCTTTTTTCCAGTGTCAAAAATTACAAATAGAATTCCTCAATTACTATGACAACTAAAACAAACTTTAAATGATTTTCAGACTTAATCTATATGTAACTTACGTAAGTTATTAGATCAGATTTCAGTCTTGTATAAAAACAAAAAAGATTTTAATTTCTGTAATATTAAAGAAAATCTAAGGTATATGACCTGATTAAAAAAATATTTTATAAAATAAATATCGGTATCTTTCTCTTTTATAATTTCAGTGTAAAGAAATTTTACAAGAGGAGGAAGATTTATCAGAAATTGTCCAACTGGTAGGAAAGGTGTGTACATTTCACTGTTCCTCTAATTTTTCTTGATGAAATTTTTTGTTTGGCCAACACTTGTGTACATTTATTCGGATCTGATTTTGGTATTCTTGGTAATTACAGCATTTATTTTGTACATAAATTCATTGTCTTTTTGATACAAAAGATGTTACTTGCTTTCTTTCCTAAAAATATTTGATCTAAATAAGGCAGCCATGAATTGTAAGTATAAACCAACAAATTCTGTTTGACATATATATATATATATATATATATATATAAAGATGTTATGATGCAATATTTTTTTTTTTTTTTTGAAGGGTTCATTAGCTGAGTCTGACAAAATTACTCTTGAAGTTGCCCGATTAATAAAAGATGATTTCCTTCAGCAAAATGGCTACACACCTTATGACAGGTGAGAGAAACAAGTGTTACTATTGCTTTTTGTCTGCTTTTTTTTTTTTTTTTATTTATTCTCACATACCAAGATCATTATTAACAAAATTTTGTTTACATTTCTTGGATGAAGATTTTAGCATAACCTTTAAGAATTGATTGATCTGTCTTATTTGTATGTTTTGTAACTGATTACAAAAAACAAACTTGTTTGTACTATATTTCACTATAAAAAAAAAAGAATTTCTCTCAAAGATAAAAGCCCTCCCACATAACTAATGTTTTGAAAATCAAATTTGTTCACATTTCAACAAATACATACACAATCTTCCAAGTTTGTCTTTTCCACAGAAGAAATATATTCATTCACTTGATGTTATATGCTAATGATTTTTACGCGCACACACAGTGTCCAAATCCTCTTATGGTTATTATTATTCATTACTATTTGCTTTTTTAAGGTATTGCCCATTCTACAAAACTGTGGCAATGTTAAAGAACATCATCACATTCTATGACCTGTCCAGACATGCTGTTGAAAGCACTGCACAGAGTGAGAAAAAAATAACTTGGGGCATCATTCGTGAACAATTAGGGGATATCATGTATAAATTAAGCAGCATGAAATTCAAGGTAACTGGATTATAAGCATTCCTTATCTATATATTCCATTTCTTTTTATTCTAAGTCCAACATTATTTTCTGAATTTAAAGTTTGGAAATTTTACATGATTAAAAAAATAAATCAATGATAACTCCTATTTCCATACAGGACAATGGACAATAATATAAGACTATTACTATTTTAAATTACTATGTAATTTATTGAAATTTTAATGAATTTATTTTTAATGCTATCTTTTTCTTTCTTATAATGTAATTGTTATATTGTACTCACTTGTTTCATATATTTTATTCATGATTCAAACACTATACTACCTTGTGTTTTTTTTATCAGAATTTTTCTTTTAACATAAAAAAAGCATTGCAGGATTTTACTTTTGAGTTGGTAGCATTTTTTCTATTTAAATCTGGAAACTAACAAACTTCAGTCTTATTATTTAGTTTTCAAACTAAATATTAAAAATGTTAGCCTGGCTCTCTTTTAAGGTTTTCTCTACTTAGTATTATATATGAATAACATTGAGATGTATGAAAATAGTTGTTTTATTGTTTGCATTTCATCCTGTTGATTCAAGGCAACTTCTATCTTTACTACAGCTTGGTAATTTAAAGACAGTTATAATAATCATAACTAAGACACAAGTGCAATCACTCAGATATTTAAAATATCATCAGCATATTTAGTAAAGATGAATTCAAGTTGGTAAAACAGGACCTTGCTCAATCAACAGTGACAGAACTTCACCAAACAACAGAAAAATGTTCCCTGAGAAGAAATTTCAAAAAACTTAAATACTGCCTAATGGTTAAATCCACTCTGTCAGGAAGAGAAATAAGCTACTGTCACTGCTTAAAACACATCCATTAAACTGAGGAATAGGAGTCTAATTTGTTAACCAAGTATCCTAGGTAGGAGTCAGCATAATTAACACATGTTTTTGTACCTTTTTAGTACTGGTCTCATGATTAGTGTCCAATACTTGTAATATGTAATTAAAGTTTAAAAAAAAAAAAATCAAACTGTAAATTTACCAAATATAAGAAATCCTCATGTCAAAAAATATTTTCTATTTTAGGATCCAGAACAAGATGGTGAAAGAAAGATCAAAGCAGATTATGATGAACTCTTTGAAGAAATGCAGACAGCATTCCGAAATTTGGAAGATTTTTAAATCTATTCATTTGGCTCATGCCTCTCATCCAATGTGATCAAATGATGGCTTTAGATTGACCATCTCTGATGGCAATTGCTTTTAAGGCCATTAAAATCCAAACAACAAATCAACCACAACTTTAATTACCAATGATAGAATAACTATTAAAATGTTAATTTCAAAATACAGAAGACAAATTCACGTTTTCATTAGACTCTATACTTTTTCTACATGCGCATATACATGCAGACACACACCATTTGTGTGTTTCTAAATATAATGGCATACATATAATTATATACACCAAATAACATATTTTTCTCTTACATTCAAATTGTTTTTTTTTTTTTTCTTTTGGTAGATGATTTTCTGTTCTTCACCATGTTCTCTTTCAAGAAGGGAGGAATAAAATGAAGTAGAAACAATTTTTTTCAAAGGGACCAGTTTTTATCTTTTTATAATCCCACTCAGATAATCAATTTAATTCTTTTCATGTTAATAGGAGGGAAAAAACATTTAAGAAAATCATCAATGAATATGCCCCTCCCTTTTTTTTTTGTATTTGTCTGATGTTTATGGTACGTATGTCAAATTTCTAGAGTTGTTATTGAGTGCCTGTCAAATGTGATAGACCCTTAGACAAATGAGGAAAGGAGGAAGCTGTGTGGATTGTTGTCAACATTTGCTAATGTATCAGATCATACTGGTAAGTGGGGAAATAAGACATTAAATCAAAAACCTAAAGACCCACACAAAAGTACTCTTGGTGCTACTGATAAGCAACAAGAATATGTAATAAGGCAACCACTTTTCCCAAGTCTCTGTAGTACAGAATGGTAGTAATGTCTAGGACTTAGCATAGCACTTGACACAGTGAGTTAAGTACTAGTATAAACAAGCTTACAACATTGTTTTCATATCTTGTAATACAAAAAAATTACAAGTGAATTTGATCTCGCTGTTGTTTATTATTGTCTTAGTGTTTGTTTTTCTGATTCTTACCCCATATATATATATATATATATATATATATATATAAAAATAACTTTTTTTCAGGAGTGATGATACATGATATGTTAACTTTTCTGAAGTTTTGATGAAGGAATACCACACATTTTTTTTCAGGCTCTTATATTCATCTTTGCTGATAACTTCTTTGACCTTTTCAGGTTCTGTATTCTAAAGACTAACAGATGTAGCATGAAGAAGGGTCAGAGAATATATTGGCAGAAACATTAAAAAACAACATTGATAATCAAAAATGTGCTGAACATAGTATTTCAAGTTTTTTTGTTGGATACAATGCAAATTATCTCAATACTTGTTTTAATAATATATTTTGTTAACAATTTTAGCATTATAACATTGCAATAATTATAAATTCTACTGATAATTTCTTTGGTCAGTAATCATTAGACTTTCACTTACAATAATGAGCTTTATATTTTTAGTTACTATTATTTTTGTCTATCTTCTATTATTTCTGCTGTGCATAGGTTAAATTTTATCAAAAGTTTAATAGATTATAAGTCTATAAAAGAAAAATATATTTGATTAAAGGATATAGATTCATGTCCATTAGGATATGAAGAAATGTCTATTTCTTTTACTGCGTGACACCCGACACACTTTCTTTTTAAAAACAAAAAACAAACTTAAAGTGGATACTGAATATAAAATTAAGAATTTATAATCCAGTTTAACGTCCTATTAAAATCTGTCACTGCCTTAAATGTTGCAAGAGGGATAATTCTTTCTCTTTTGGTTGCACTGCTGACTTGAGATTGTTGTGACTACATGATTGTGTTTGACTGTTTTCTGGGTTTAAAAATACAACTGCTTCATTTTAAAAATTTAAACTAGTTCTCAATTACTTTTTCACTTTGTTTTTACAGTTCATATGTAACTTACCTACTCAAGTCCAGAGCTATTATCATTTTGAAGTTTATATTAGGCTTAGAAACTCATTTACTGTAATATTGAGAAATACATTTTTCGTCTTAATAGGAAATAACATTAAACTTTGTTGATATCAAAGGAAGTAAACTTTTTTTCTTAAAGTGGTAATAAATTAAAATTTTATATGAAAATATAATTTACTGCAACCTACTTGGATGTTCCCCCTCTCCCAATTTCTACCCTCAAAGTTATATTTTGTTTTCTTGCAATAAAATGGATAAGAGAATGTTTTGCTTTGTTCTATTTCTTCAAACTTTTCCTTTAGTGATTTTTCTTTTCACAAGTTTGTAGATGTAGAAAGGGTTATGTTCATACCATAAAAGAAAAGTAATACCTGTCATTGGTTACTTTAGTTACACATTAATAATCCATAAAGGGAAAGTTCTTTTGCCTGTGCACATTTTTTTCTTTGTTGTGTCTTAAGATTTTGTTTTAAGTCTAATAATTTTTTTGATTAAATATTTTTAACATCAGATTCAGAACATTGCTGGCTTTCATTTCCTTTCATTTGTTATAGGCATATACTAACAAATTGATAAATTATTTGTAAACTAAAAGTTAAAATTCATTTGTCTTATGGATTATGGCAGTCTGTGTATTACTACTGAACAAAAGAATTTCACAAACTAAGCTATTTCCACTTGGTGAGCATTATATTGACTAAAAATAGTATGGGTAATACTAAGAGTAGTATTATTATATCTATCCTTACAGCAGTTAGCCCTAAAGATGTCTATTCCCATCACACCCAGAAAGAAATGGTACACAAATCATCTCAAATGTTTGCTTCTCCTATCATCACTACATAAATTTCTTTCATCTCTTTTCAGAGAAAAACAAAACTACCCTCTGCTGTTAGATTTGGTGTATGGTTTATAATTTAACATTTCCAAAGACCATTATGTTAAACAGGGACTGTTATGTTGTCCCTCAATGGCTGTCAGATGTTCTTGTTATGTGTGGTCAAATTGGCTGCACAATTTTAGTTGAAAGGATCATGAAATTTAAGATGGGGGGCTAAAAAAAAAAAGTTGTTTGTCAGTTACTAAATATTCCAGTGAGTTAAGATTTAATAATTAAAAAAAAAAAAAATCATGTAAGCTCTGTTTAATAAATGATTTCTGGTAATTCTTGAGTATTTTGTTTTTATTTTTAAAATAATCATTTGGTACATATTGCAAACAAAGTATGTGTTATAGAAGTTGATAGTTTTCCTGCTTTCCTGTCAGGGAAAGCATTCTTAAAGCTTTTTTTTTTTTTTTTTTAAATTAAATCCATGGGCATGACGTGTGAAATATAAACATGCAATACTCCAAGTTGATATTACATTGTAAATGGTAAGTATTAAAGAACAATTGTAAATGATTTTTAAAAAAATCAGAAAATTGGATTTATTTAAATCTATTTAAAGACTCAACAACCCTGACTGCAGTAGTTCTTGGCCCATTTCCCCAAATCTGTTCAAATATCAATTTTATTTTAAATTGAACCAAGAACTTTACTTTGATGTTGTTAACTTAGAATTAACCCTTTGAGCCTGGCATTCCTGAACAATTTTAACACTTCTGCCTGAGCTCCTGAGTCAAAATTTGTAAATAATTGATATGTAATGTTTCATGGTAGATATAAAAATAGTTACAAGTATTTACCCACCATTCAACCAGTGACGGCATTACATCATTTTTCTCTACCACTGGTAAAGCGGTGGTCAGGGCTCAAAGTGTTAACCAAGCTTTACATTTTCTTTGGTAGACTGTGCATTCAGCAAGTTAATTTAGTCCATAAAACAACTGAGTTTAAAATATTTTTGTCTAAAAATTGAATATGTGAAGAGGCAGATTATCGGTGAATATAATTCAGCTTCATAGGAAAGATTTTAGATGATTCTCTATTAAATGTATATAGGAGATAAGTATGCAGTGTACCTAGAACTGAAAGAAATGTCTTGATGTAATTAACATCTCATAGTTTCTAAGGTTCTCTTGTGATAAGATCAATATGAAATGTGTCGGATGCATTTTTTAGCTGAATGTAGCAGTTGGTAGTCAAATGGTTTATAATCTCATTGACCTTGAGAGCTAATAAGGTGCTTGCTTCAACTCTAAGAGCAAGAGGTTTAGAGTCGAAAATAAATTTTTCTAATTTAACTAAGAAAAAAAAAACAAAAAAACAAACAAACATTCTCCACTTGTATTATACAAAAAGCCTTGAGGTTTTGTTTCAGTCACATTGATATAAACAATTGCATAAAGTAAATACCACTTTTTGTTCCCAAGATTAATCAACAATTTAATGAAAAAAAGTACATGGTAAGTTTATGAATACTCTTTTTTTTTTTTTTCTTTAGAAAATCAGTACAAATATAAATAAAATTTAATAAATGTTGAGTTTCAATTTGAATTTCTACATTAATCCAGGATTTTTTTTTTTTCAAAAGGTTTGATATTAGGTAAAATATCCCTATTTAAACAATTTTTCTTATTCATTTTAAACAAAAAAAAAAAAAAAAAAAAAAGTTAATTTTTTGTAACATAAAATTAGTATTAAACTACTGTTATAAGTAATGCTATGCAGACAGTTCTACAACTGGCAACAAAATTTATTACAAAAAGTAATCAATCTATAACAAAAAAAAAAATTAAAACTTGATAAAGAGTACCATTTTATTCTAAAAACATCTAATAAATTTTAAAAATCTAAGACAACATAAATGATATTTGAAGAGTGAACTTTGGTTAGAAACAAATAATATAAGTATTTAGTGATACAAGCCTTAGATTATTTCAGAATGAAACAACTTCTTAGGAAAAACTTGTCAGTCCGATTTTATAAATGTCACCTTAATTAGAAAAAAAAATTTCCTTATGCAGGAAATATTTTGAGTTTTTTTTATAAACTGACTTTATTATATCACCAACTTTAAGTATGGATTTTGTAAAAGCTTGTAGGATATGTCTACCTACTACCACAGCCAGAGTAACTTAAATTCTTTCACTATCACATAAAACGTCCCCAAATCCACATGTAGACAACCACCAAATATAGATAAAAAGGCTTACTATATATCTTTGTGTATATGTATTATGACATATACACACAAATGCTGCTTGACAAGACTGATGCATGTGAAGCTTGCTAAACCAATGAAAAACAAACAAAATTAAAAATACCAGAATCATCTTTTTCTTTTTCACATTCTCTGAAGATTTTTTAAAAGCAAAACCTGTTAAGGAACGTTTATAAATCTATTTGTTCCTTATTCTATCCCTATTTATATTTTAATATTACTTTTTTTATCTAGAAGTCAAAAGTAAAACCTTATACTCTTTAAAATTATTACATGAAATACCTGCTCAGCATATTCAATACATTTTCTTGTATTTATTCTGGTATATCATTAGCTAATGAAGTCTCCACTGTCACAGGTGTGTGCACGGGGCTTGAATTGTTATCTTCCATCTCAACTGTGGGAAGGAAACTGGGCACTAACTCAGATGGCAAATCAGAATCAAGATCAATTTTATCCAGATCAATTTGAAAATCTGGCACTTCTGATGACAAAGGAACAACATCCAAGTTGGTGGGCAGGGTAGTTGCTAAATCTTCAGATTCTAATGAAACTTTATCATTTTGGTGTGTGTGTGTTAAATCAGCTCCTAAAATTTGAGGTACTTCTGATTTGACAGCACTTTCAGAATTGGGACTAGCTTCTGATGGGTATAAAGTCTCTGTACTAAACTCATCAATTGTTTGGGTCTCAGAAGGTTCTATATAAGCCTCTTTCTCTGATGGGGAGCTTTGTGGCAAATTGGTGTCTGTAGCATCAGTGAAAAGTTGAGTTGATGTATCTGAAGAGTGATCATCAGGGGATATGACTGGGGAAACTTTCATCACAGTAGGAGATTCAGAAAGATTTTCTTCCACAGTTGTTATTGATACCTCTTCCTCTTTCTCAGGAAGAAGATGACTGAGGCTGTCAAGGATAGTTGTTAAATCCAAACTGCCGGAGTTACCCTGAAATAAAAATGAAAAATTTTGCCTATAAAATATTTTATAAAAAAAAACAACAAAGTTAAATAAGTTTGTGTGTTGCTATTCTTGTTTCTTACAGTGATGATTCTTGACACTTTCTTTGAGTGTAACAGTTACTGGTGTGGATTTTACCAGTAAGTAAATATGTACCTGGTGGTTGGTTAAAATAGGAATCAACTTGATAAATTAAAAGCCTAGTAAATTAACAATTTACATTTTATTAGTATACCTGAAATACTCTGAATTATGGTTTTTCTAGTGATCTGGAATTATCACTTAAAGGGTTTTAACTACTAAGACCGAGTAAAACAAGGAGCACCCAGCACTTGTTTCCACTCACTACTAGAAAAATGGTAACTGAAATAAACCTAGCAAATACTAGATGGGATCTTGGCCAAAATTCAGTAGAGGAATATTATTTTTTAATACTACTCTACAGTTCTGAATTCATTATCTGTGAAGTCAAATATTCAGCATGAAGATAAAGTTATCAAGCATCTTCCTTTGATACTATTACTTATGCATATATGCAAAATCTGAAAGTGTTATGTTCCTATAAATATATGAACCCAACACAAGATGAGGGTAGTCATGCACAGAATCAAGTAGTTCATATCACTTCCTTCTTTACTACCACCCATTGTAAGATATTACCCAAGAAAAATTTAGGCTAGGGAAAATTTCTTCTGATAACTGAGTGGAAGAGTTAGAGGCCAACTTTGTCTGCAAGCCCTATGACCTTTAAAGCTGCCTGATGGAATTGAACTGACTACACGTCACCACCAGCCCATGGCATTGTTGCTATTTTTATAATGTTGTGAATAATACCAATACATACTAACTCACAAAACTGGCTACAGAATTAGGAAGAGCTAACTCTAAACTGATAACTGTAACAAACTTATTGATTCTATAAGCAAGTGTGAGTTGTCTGTCCTGAAAGCTATGTCTTTACTTTTCTTATAACTCACTCGCTTTGTTCTAAAGGAGATTTCAACCAGCTTTTTCTAAGACTTCCTCAGATTAAAATCTTAAACAATGTGGGTTGGGAAGATCAACTGGTGAAGTGAAATGTCCAATGGAACCAGGATGAAATAAGAGAAGGGGATCACATTATACAAGCCAGAATACAATGTAAACAAAATGTGGAAAGAAAAATCATTGCTTTGAATAGCACTGACACAATAATAATTTTGACAGTGTTCTTAGATATTTTATTCTTACAGAAAACAATGGCATATAAAGAAAATGTTTCTTAGAGTCTCATAATTAGGAGGATACAATATTTGCAGGCGTAACTCACTGGTGATCACTTAGGATTTGTGTCACTTAAATGATGTGAATTTCGGTATTGAGCCAGAATGTAATCAAATCTAATAATAAAATTGTGCTATTTTCCAAAGACTAACTGAAGCTTTCAAATTTTAATTTGAAATGAAAGTGAAGTTTAAACAAATTATTTCTAATCTTAGTTGCTGTTAGAGGAATAGAAGATTTGTCAAAATGAAAAATAAATTCTCAGGCTGCATGTTTGCACGAAAGCATTGTAGAATGATATTTGCTTGATTTAAATATGTAAATTCTTTTTAAAAACCAGTAATATATAGTTTTTTTTTCTATATCTGTTCATATTTGTCTCCTGTTGAATAAAGAAAATGAAATAAAAGTGTATGAAAAAGAGTTTTGAGAAAAAAAATTGTTTGGCTTACCAATACACTCATCTCAGCTATTGTGATACCAAGCAACTGAGCAAGCTGTGTGGGTGGGAAGAGGGTCTGCAAACATTGATTCAAATAAGGTAAAAGGTCAGCAGTGTACACTTGCAGAAAGTATTGGAAATGTTCCCTTTCTTGTGTGTTAAACGTTGGTTCTTCAGCCCTGAAAAATTTTTGAAATAATAAAGACAAAAAAGTTCATTTCTCTAAAAATTTACACCAAAATAAATTATGCACTAATTTGTGCTGTTCTGAAACATTTTATGCTTTAAAATGCATCTACTTTGATTTTTTTTCTTCAATACTTGCAAAATTGTAAACCATGTAGAAGAAAAATTATGTATAACTGAATTGTTTTAAATCTTGATTATCTTTTTCTTTTTTTTTTTTTAATAAAAAAAGATTTTTGCAAATTCCTTACCTTTTTATTACTTCAAATGTTATTTTCAGTGCATGTATGCATGCATACATGCATACATACATACATACATACATACATACATTTTTCAAAACTGCATATTATGTTTACAAACCTGATAAAATTTAATAAAGAAAATGTGCCCTCCAGCAGGGTAGAAAACCTGCGCTCACCACTTTGTCTGGCATGCTTCAGACAACTTAGTCATAGAGGGTATCAAAGCCAAGTTGTATTTACCCTTTTAAGGGTGCACATCTTGTTCAGATTCACTCAATAACCCATATCTTCTTGGTTTTGTATCCAAAATATAAATAAAGCAATTTCTACAGAATTGATGGATTAATTTTTAATCCAACATTTTTATTACTTAAAATGTTATTTTTAGTGGACACTGATTACTTACCTAAGATCTTGGTATGGCAAAAATTGAACAAAGATTTTAGCTAAGTGAATCTAGGCAAGATGAAAAATAAATAAATAAACTTGTATGTCTATATTTCTGAGATGAGGTATTATGTACAGTACTTACATTAGTCGGACTATTGTCCTCATCTTTGTCGCCATATTTGTCACAACGTTTCGGCTGTTGTATGCTCGCCTTCTTTCAGTTCAAATTCCAACCACCTGAAGAAGGCCGGAGCGTAAACGGCCGAAACGTTGTGACAAATATGGCATAAAGATGAGGACAATAGTCCGACTAATGTGAGTACTATAAACTTGTATGTTTTTAATAATGATCAATGATACAATTAAAAACTGAAAACTTAAAGAATGATATCCCTGTAAAGCTACACACAAAACAAAAGAATATTACTAATACTGTAAAAACAAGAACCAATCATTTATTGATACATATAATAAATAATATACAGAAAAGTATTTACAAATAAAAGCAACTATAAAGAAAACTATAATAAAAGTTAAATGTGGAAACGATTTTTAGAAATAATAATTAAAAATAATAAAATAACAGAAAACCTTCAAGTTATCAAGAAGAAATATTCTTGAACTGATTTATTGAGAATTTTTTCTTGGAGACTGGAAGCAAAAATCTTACCTGTGGAATGAGAGGATAACACGATTCACAGCTAAAAGAGAATTTTGTAGGGCATTGTTGACATCACAGGCCAATGAAAGAGGAGCACACAAGCGTAAATCATTGAAGGCACTCAAGAGATGATTGCAGTACATGGCCAATGGTTGAAAATCTAGCAGGACAGATGGAGGGAACAGCTGACCAGGCTGAAATACACAATTTGTATTTTCAATAAAAATCAATATTCATCTGTCAGGATTTCATATCAGAAATTAACATAATTTGACAGAATCATGTATCTTTTTTTCTGATATTCATTTATTTTTTTTTATTAAACTAAATGGATTGTTATTTGTGGTGATATGCAAGAGAATGAAAATCTGCAGATGTAAATGAATAGACAAACTGAAAGGATCCCCCCCCACACACACACACACACATTGCTATTCTACACAATCTATTTGTTGAGATGTTGGGAGTGTTCCCGCATGTGTGTATTCAAATAAAGACAAACACAGATGTAGGGGAAAATACTGGTATATTTGAAGAGGTATTTAACAACAGAGTGATTAGTAATAACGAACGCAGGTTAGTAATAACAATCAGCAAGAGTCTAATGTCCAACGGTAACTTCCGGTAGAGAGACGGAAATGTAATGGTCACCTGATCTCCAGACCTTTCTCTGGTCTCTCTAGCACTGTCCTATATCATAGAGGGATCAGTCCATTCTCCCCCCCCCACTTAAATTGTTTTTACATTGTGAAAAAAAAAAAAATTTTTTTTTTTTTAATATTTTTTCCTTTTCGGGTCCATTATGAATTGTTGCATCGCTTTTCTTTTCGCTTTCTACCAGATCTGCACTGTTTTTGCTCTGTCTGTGCTATTTGTAAATCAAAAGTATCATATAAATCGTGTAATTCATCTTCTTGCAGAGTTTCTTCCGATTCCTCAGTACTCCTTTTCTTTAGCTGGTTGATGTGCCTTTTATGGGTAAATTTTTTCCCTTGTACAATGTACACCATATTCCCAATCCGCTTTTGTATGACTCCTGATTCCCACAATGTCGCATTATTTTTATAATCCTTGAAAAAAACTTTTTCACTTATGTGGAATTTTCGCTTAGGAACCATAGTGACTGGTGTGTGTACCTTATTTTCAGGTATCAACTTATCAAATGCAGATCTGATCTTCCTTGCAAACATTAGTTCCGCAGGTGATAGGCTTGATGGGGCTGATTTATTCGGAGTAATGCGGTATACTTGCAGGAATAGCTGTAACGCCTTTCTAGTCGGGGTACCTGTTGCTTTCCTAAGAGCCCTTTTCAAATATCGACAAACCTTCACGTGATCCACTTGGAAATTCTGGCAGAATTCTGCGAATTCTTTGCTCATGAATTGAGTACCATTACCACAGTATCTACCACTCCAAACCTTGCAAATAATTCATGCAATTTATTAATTGTATTTTGTGATGTTGGCCTCTTCATTTGAAAAACTTCGAGCCATTTACTAAAGCTGTCAACTACGACCAAATAATGCCACCTGTCAATTGGACCCACAAAATCAATATGAATCCTTGACCATGGCCTGTCGGTTTTTGGCCATGGCTTCTGTAAAATTTGTGGTGATTTTGATGCCAAAATGCAGCCTTTACATCTGCCGACCATAGACGCGATGTCGTTGTCCATACCTGGCCAGTAGACGTATGCTCTCATTAGGCTCTTCATTCTATTTATGCCCGGGTGACCAGCATGAAAATCTTTTAGTATTCTTTTTTGGAGTGTGCTAGGGATTACTACCCTTTCACTGTATATTAGTACATTATCACACAGAGAGAATGTCTCTTGAATTTTTTTGTCTTTTTTAGCAAGTTTGTCTTTTATTTCCATTATATATTTGTCCTTTTCTGCTTCTTTTTTGATGTCCTTAAGCGATACTGGTAATTCTCGAATTGCGTTCGCTAAATTTTCTTCAACCTCGTCCTCTGCTCTGAGGGATGCGATTACCGTATCCTCTAATGGTTCTGTTGCTTTCAGAATGAGTCTTGATAGACCATCTGCGTGACCAATTCTGTGGGTAGACAAATATTGTATTCTAAAGTTATAATTTAACAAAATTGTTCCCCACCTAAGCAATCTATTTGCGGTGTATGTTGGCAGACCCTTCTTTGAACCAAATATCGTTACCAGAGGCTTGTGGTCTGTCTGTAGTGTAAAATACCGTCCATGTATGTATCTATGGAATTTTGTTACAGCGAAGATAATCGCCAATGCCTCTTTTTCAATTTGAGAATAGTTTCGTTCAGCAGGTAGTAGCGATCTGCTTGCATGAGCGATCGGTCGAACTTTACCATCCTTCCACTTGTGCAATAAGCACGCACCTACGCCATGTGTACTGGCATCGCTCGTCACGATGATATCTACCTTTTGATCAAAATGTACCAGAAATAAATCTGATGTCAATCTTTCTTTTATATCCTTAAATGCTTGCTCGCATTCTTTTGTCCAAATCCAAGGTTTTTCTTTTTTTAGTAGATCGTTAAGGGGAGCTCGTAGAATGTGGAGGTCTGGGATAAAATCCTGGTAATATGACACCAAGCCTAAAAAAACTTTGTAGGGATTTAATAACCTTTGGCTCAGGCATATCTTATTGCTGATGCTCGACTTTTATCTGGCTTTTTTCCTTCTTTATTCACTATATGTCCCAGATACTTGATCTCCTCCAGGAGAAAATTGCATTTATTTTCTTTCACTCTAAATCCATAGCTTCTTAACCTTTCGAAAACTTTGCGTAAATGGTGTTTGTGTTCATCCACCGATTCACTTTTCACGAGTATATCATCGAGATATGCTATCGTGTAGTCTAACCCGGATAACATAGTATCCATTATTTTCTGGAATATTGCGGGTGCAGTCTTCACCCTGAACGGTAAACGTTCGTATCTGAACAAGCCTTTATGCGTGTTAATGCATAGTAACTTTGCGCTTTCATTATCCATGGGTACTTGCAAGTATGCCTTGCTAAGATCTATTTTCGAAAAGATTTTTCCACCATTTAACTTTGCGAACACTTCTTCGGGATTTGGTAGTGGATAGTGATATTCTTCTATTGCGTCGTTTAGCCCGGTTGAAAAATCAGCACAAGACGCGAATTTCGCCTGACTTCTTCTTTACGTAGACAGCCGGAGCTGCCCAGTCACTGTATTCCATTTTCGAGATCACACCAATTCTCGTTAGTTTTTCAAGTTCTTGGTCAATTTTCTCTGATGCAGCAAAAGGGATGCTATGCTTTTTTTTAAAAATTGGTTGAATATCTTTCTTCAGATGTATTTTTGCTGATGCTTCCGTGCAACGTCCAAGTCCTTCAGCGAAAACTTTGGGGAATGCTATTTTCAATTCTGTTTGTAAATTTTTTATGTTGTCTTTGCTTTCACTAATGTTGTTACAAAAAAAACTAATGGGCACGTCCCATAGATTGAACTTAGAGATTGCATCAGTCCCAAACAGGTTGTTCGTATTTTTCATTACAAAAATTTTCATTTTCATAGTCTTATCGTTGAAAGTTATATTCACCCATATTTCACCTTCAAAATTGATCTTTTTCCAGTTACTGTCCTGGCTATTTTGTTGGACTTTAGCAGAGTTGGCTTTCCTAGATTTTTCCATGTTTGTGTGTTAATAATCGAAATGTCTGATCCTGAATCCAGTTGCATTTTAACCTTTTTGTTGTACATTTTTACCTGTAGGTATTTTCAAATATTCAGGTCTTGATCTTCATCTGACTTAGTAACTTTTACTCGACTTCTGTTTAATTTTCTACACTTGGACATCTTATGTCCTACTTTCTTGCAATTTCTGCAAGTTTTATTTTTATATGGACAGTCATTTTACCAGTGCCACTGGCCGCATCCATAACATGCACTTGGAGGGAGGTTTTTTTTATAGTCTCTGTTCATTCTTGTAGTAGGATACCACTTCCGTTCAGGCGATGGAGAACGGAAACAAGTCTTCCTATTTACTTTCTACACATTTGCGATAGCAGTTTCTTCTATTTTCTCTGAATCTTGCTTAATGCTTACGCATTGCTGACAGTACTCGGCTAGCTTTTGTAGTGTCATGTTTTGGTCATTTTCTAGCTTTGCTAAAATGCGTCTTTGCATTTCGCTATCTTTTTTAGACACTAAGCCTAGCACGAATATTAGACACTTGAAATTGTCCGCCGATAATTCAGACAAACAAAAATCGTCACACGTCTTATTTACGATTGACGCGAAAGTCGTGTAGTCTTCCTGCTCACTTTTTTGAATATTAAGGCATTTCCACCTTTTGTGAAATAATGATAATCTGGGGTTGAAGAGCTCTTTTAGTAATTCAATCGCTTTGTCGAATTTTAAGTCTCGTCTTTTTGGGTAATATAAAGTCTGTAAATTTATTATGTTCTGCCGTTCCCAGTTTCCGTAGCAACAATCTTATCTTTTTCTCATCTGTCCATGTTTGGCAATCATCTTCATAAAAGTCCTGATATCTATGATAATATCTTTCGAAAGTCTTTTCCTCTTCTGGGTTATAGGTAAAACTTTCGATCGTCGACCATATTGTGTCTTGAGAAAAAGTACTTTCATCAGAGTCTTTCTGCTTAGACAGTATAGTTTTATGTATAAGTTCAGTCATTGCTAACTGTTTCTTTTCATTTTCTTCTTGTATTTTATTTTGTTTTTCGTGTAACTCCAGAAATTGTTTTGTATTTTCTTCCTTTTGTTCTTTCTGAAAATTCAATAGTTTTTCTTGAAAACGCTCTTCACTCTCTTGTTGTCTTTGCATCTGATACTTAATGAGTTCCAGCATAGATGATTGAAATTGCTCCATGATTATGTATGTGTAGAGAAAAAAAGCGAAATTATGTGTGTTTTTTTTTCTCTGAGGGGGGCCAAAAAAAATTAATCAAATTCTCTGGCACGACAAAAAAATTTTTATTTTTATTTTTAGCACAATAAATTGTTTATTAAAGATTCCAATAGAATCAATAAGTTAATGTCTAACTTACAGTTTTTTCTTTTTGTTGATAAACTTTTCAATCCTTTGCTGTGAAAAAATGCTTGAACTCTTTTAAATTTTCCTGTGTTGAAATCGTTTCTTTTGCTGTTGCGATATTTATTTTTCAACGTAAGTTCTTTTTATCCGTTCGAAGCCTCGTCGCCACTGATGAGATGTTGGGAGTGTTCCCGCATGTGTGTATTCAAATAAAGACAAACACAGATGTAGGGGAAAATACTGGTATATTTGAAGAGGTATTTAACAACAGAGTGATTAGTAATAATGAACGCAGGTTAGTAATAACATTTAGCAAGAGTCTAAAGTCCAACGGTAACTTCCGGTAGAGAGACGGAAGTGTAATGGTCACCTGATCTCCAGACCTCTCTCTGGTCTCTCTAGCACTGTCCTATATCGTAGAGGGATCAGTCCATTCTTAGTCAGAAGGTGGGCGCACCCCAACGCTATTCTAACATTAAACATCTGTTGCCAAAATATTTTCTCTTAGTATGGACAATCAATTTGAATGAAAACATGAAAAAATTGTATCTGTTCTTCTCATTATCTGTCTAGTCATAAATGCAACTTTGCAGACACCTGTTTTTGCTTTGTTAATTTTTATGTTAAATTAAAACATTTAACATAAAAATTGACTTTACAAAATAAATTTACTAAAGAACTTGAATAAAAAAAATCCAGGAATTTGGAGAAAATCTAAAAAACAATTTGGTATATATTAGCCATTGCCTTGAGATATGAGAAAATAATAACCTGGCTGGAGATATAATTTATTTAATTTTTTAACTATTCTTTGATGAATTTTAATCTTTGATAGAATTTTTGAGATAAGAAACTGTCATGATTATATGCTTTGCTATTCAACCCAACATGCTCATCTTGATTGTTCTACTCATACCATTTTGGAGACCTTCTTCCAGTGTTTGTGTTTGTACTCTGTAACCTTATTGGAATTTTGAATGAAACCGTTTGTTCAATCTATGGGGGTAGATTGTTCCCTAAGAATTGAATGAAAACAATCTTATACTCCTTTGTGTCAATTGTCTGTTTTTTTTCCACTGAACAAGATTATGTAGCTTTATTGCAAACTCAGGTGAGCTCATTGTGAAACGTATAGAAAATATTATTGGGTTCACATGCACCAGAATGCACATCTTTCTGATGGGGCCAGAGTATAAATGTGTCATTTTTATATCTAAGCCACCTCAAAATATTCCATGTATATGTTTTTCCATTACTGGTAATGGCAACATCTCCATCAGGTTATCTATTGAGTAGACCTTCTATACAGTTCACAATGGAAAAGGAAGCAGAAGGTTAATTGGATGTACTAATGACTTGCACAAAATATCGGTTTAAGACCTCCATATATCTTAAGACAACATTCACAGGACAATATCTGAACTTCCCATCATACATAAAGCGATAAGAAAGGGATTGTCTGCTGTCTACAACATAAGGCCAGACACATACCAACAGATGATCAGCATTACAAATAGCATTCTAGATAACAACTACCCAATCAACATAACATCATCAGCTATCATACATAAGAGATACATTTGAAAAGGTTCAAAGTAGGACAGTATTCAAAATCAGTTCAACTTTTTAGAAATGTATTTCCTGAATCCTGCCCACCTTCTGAAGAAAGCAGTTAAGAACTGTGTATAGTCCATTCCAGGTTGGTGTGATTAGGAATACAAAAGAGAGACTAGCTTCCCCACAAGAATAAAGGACTAGAAGAACATTGGAGCTTGCTTCAATGACCACATGTTTCCATCTCTAACAAATATATATATATTATATAATTATTCCAGAAGGGATGGCCACTCTTTTTCCTTATATGAACAGCTGTTGGGGTAAAAGAATGGTTATCATGCCTTGTAGTGCAATGAAATCATTACTAGACAGAGAACAACACTGAAGAATAAGACAACTGAAAGAATCAGTGCACATGTTAGGCACTGACCATTTCCTCAGTAGACTTAGCATAGAGATAAATACTATTTGGGAAGCTTCTGATCAAGAAAGAATACTAAAAGGAAATTCCATCACCTAAGTCAGGACCCTCATACAATCTTACCTCCACATTAGGTTTAAGTCTCCTGAATTTCAACACTGGATTGTCTAAGAAACACATGAGCTAGTGGATCAAAGTATTGTTTAAAACACATTGTGTTCTCTAACAGTTATGAGTTTAATCCCAGAGTCTGCTAGTGTTGAAAAGTAATATACTACATATACTACTCATTAAAAAACAAAGAAAGAAAGAAATTGTTCTATTAGTGTCATTCTTTTATTTGCTTTGTTATAACAACATTTCAACCAATCCATTTAACAGCCTTCTTCATGTGCATAATCCACATCAAAAATTGCTGGAGGTCTTTTTTTCTTTTTACATTAGTGCAAATCAGAAAATGATGGCAAATATACATTCTAGTAAGAGTAATATGGGTAGGAAAGAATTTGTTATTTTTACACTTTGTTGCTCTTTATTTGCTAAGCAAAGAAACCCATATTCACCCAATTTATACATTTGTCTAATGTAAGCATTTTTAAAACATTTTCTTACCCTTCAGTTATCCTTAGACATTATTTTCTTGCTTCAATCTTTTTCTTATTCTTTAAAGACAGTGTATTTCTTGTCTTTGTCAATGTTTACTATTTCTTTTTTGATTGTTCAATTTCAAAGTAGGGTTCTTGTCACTCAATATCTTTACTATAGATCTTAATATGTATTAATTAATTGCTCAAAGGTTTTAAGAAATCAGCCAAGAAGCAACTCAAGGTGTGAGTCACAGCCATTTACTATAAGAGTTCATGGACTATTTCCTGTGCATATGCTACAAAAAGCATAAATAGATGACTGTTTATTATGTTGAATCAATTGTCATTACTCTATGTGAAATGAATTACGGAATGGATTGGCTTCTGCCAATAACAAAAAGAAAAAAATTTTCTCAAACAACTCTTAAAAAGATAATGACTAATCTGAAAATTAAAAATGCTATCAGAGATTATGTTTTTAAAAGACTATGTTTAAGCATTGGGAATTGTGAAAGAATTATTAGACACAAAACTGTAGTGGTGAACACACCTGAAAGGACATATTATAACCTTTTGTTCCTGTGGAGGTGACAGTCATTAAATTGTATGATTGCATTACATCCTCAAATCTAGAAAATAGAAGCCAAAGAAAGAATAATCACAAATGTATCACAGATAACAGTAAATGTATCATTCAGAAACCTATAAGAAAAATATTATTGCAGTTTTTTTTTTTCATTGGCTCTATTAAAATTGGCTATATTTATGAGGGAAGTGTGCTCAATACCAAGGATAGAGCACTTGTAGATATAAGCTGTGTGGTGGCCTGAGGATTGTTTAAATCATGAAACTGATAGTGTTGCAATGTTAATTTTTATATCCACATTCACATACACACATATTAGGAAAACCTATCTTAACCAACATAATTTATCAAGGCAAATGTGAGGATTTTATTTTACAACAAGTATTTATAAGCAAAAGTAAAAATGTTGTTAGTTTCTCAAAACTTTTAAATTTAAGAGATGCTCATAAATATTCACCAGGTTAACTGAAAAGTGTAGATAAATTATGGAGGATCCTAAATGACATAATTTAATCTGTAATAAATGATGTTGAATTTTTTTCATGAAACATTTAAATTATTTTATTATGGGATAAATTTATGTATTACATACATAAGTAATTTCCAAAGGAGCATACTTAAAATGGCATACCGGAAAAAAGTATTTATATTATATTTATTATAATCTGACCAACAGCAACTGAGTCTTTTGTGCACTATGCATGCAGTCTTCAGGTGGTCAGTACTGGTCGGTTCAGTGATATGGCCAGCTAACACAGGGTGTTATGAGGGTAATTGGTAATGTACTCATCAACTAAAATCACCAAGGGAGAAATGCGCATATGTGTGAGAATTAAATAACTGAAGAATTACTGCTATTTAAGAAAACAAAATATTCCCTCAAAACACTAGAATATATTTATAAGTGCACCAAAATAGTGCTCAATGACACAAGAACGTTTTTATCTTGGCAAAGGAGCATAATTCAAAAAGCGTTCAACAATATTGAGTTCAAAGAATCTTCATACTAGAGACCATACTCGAGACATGGTAACAACAAGCACTTTTGTATTACATTCCATTATGTACACCAAATTATGTTATATCTGAATTTTTATACATATATATGACTAGAAATATATCTATACAAAAAGACAATATTAATAAAGATAAACGGAAAACTTTTCTTAGCTAACGTACTTCGTCTCTGATAGATTTTATTTGCCTTGTCCATCAGAGGACAAAACATGTTGGCTAAGAAAAGTTTTCTTTTTCTATTTATTCATGCATGTGTGTGTGTGTAATATATATATATATATATATATATATATATATATATATATATATATATATAGTTTATTCAAATTTAGGTAATCCGTATGGGTAGACCTGAGGAGGATGATATCCAGAGAGCTCAATGTAAGATTCAGAGCATATATGTTTGAATAAAAGACAGACCACGTAAGATTCCATGTAATAAGGTTTCACCATAACCCCTTTAACAGGGTTCTGGAAGTAAAGTCTGATGATCCAGAACCCTGTTAAAGGGGTTATGGTGAAATAGCTTATTACATGGAATCTTAACGTGGTCTGTCTTTTATTCAAACAAATATATATATATATATATATATATATATATATATATATATATATATATACACACACCTGTTACATCATTTAGTGCAAAGAAGTGCTGATATTCTGTCCCATTATAAAAAATATCAAGACAATTTTTTTAAGAGACTAATGAAGGTTAAAAATCAAAAAATAAGGCAGCAAATCCTAATAAGGTAAATATTCTTGACTCAAGAAAGGTTCAAACTTCCAAAATAAAAACTTCATCTTCAAATTTTTACTTAATAATTCTTTTTAAACTGAAGCTAATCTTTCTTGTTAAGGGAAGTTCAAAACCAGCTAAATCAGCACTTTAATTACAAAATAATTTTAAAATTTAAATTATAAAAAAAAAACTCACTTTTTATTGGCTTCATTTAAAGTCAGTTGAAATCCGTTGAGGGCAGCCTGCTGAAAAATTGGTGCTAAGAGTCCACGGAAATCTGCACCCACTCGACTGAATGATAAGCTGAAATACATACACTGACCAAGCAAAGAGTCCAGTCGACCTCCAACTCCATATTCAAGGTCTTCTTTCAAGGTTGTTAAGAACTGACTCACCTAAGAAAAATATAAGAAATAGTAATAATGACTAGTTTAGTTTTCTTATTAAAACAATATTAAACCTTTTATGCAAAATGTTTTTAGACATCTTAAAGTTATATTAACTTATTAATAGTCATTAAAGTAGTCACTACATATGTACAAATTTTACATACATATAAATATTCAAATTCATTTGATATCAAGAGTAATACAGAGTAACATTCACACAAAATCTACAGCAATCAAAGTTTTCTCTGCTTAACAACCTTTTCATATTTTCTATAAAAATTGGCAAGTATAGATGCATGTCCAGTTTGAACTCCAAAACTTCAAGATTTAGACCCTTAAATCATATATATTCTGATTCAGCAGGAAGGTTTCAATAAACAATTTATTTCAATTCTCTTTATATAAGATATTTGTAAATTAAAATGTATGTAATAGTTAAAATTAGAAGACAAAAAATATAAGTTTCCAATTTAAACCTGATATCATTGAATTATTTTAAAATAAACTGTGGCAAAGTTGATAATTGAATAATAAATTAATGATTTGTAGAATATTCCATGATTTTTGTTTAATAAGGGATAATTTTTTAAAATTATTAATTATATTTTATATAAAAACCCAAATATAAAAACTAAACTTTTAACAAAAACAACATTAAAAAAGTTTTTATTTATTTACATGGATAAACCTTATGTTATTCAATTTTTTTTTAAATAAACAGTGGCAAAAAAATTAAATTAATTTGAAAATAAACATTTTAAAAAAATGCAGTAGACAACCATTTTATTTAAAAAAGAGTTTATTTATTTTAAAATTACAAATATTTTCCATGAAAGACAAGATGCTTTTTTTCCTTGCAAAAACAAATTTCTACTTTTTATCTATGAGAACAATATTAAATGTTAAAAAAAAAAATTATTGAATTAAATTGGAAAAAAATTTGGTACATTTACATATACTTGAATCAAAGATTTGTGAAAAGAAAAAAAAAGTCAATTTGTTGTCATTAAAGTGAAATATTGCACTTTTTATATTGAAGTAATAGTAAATTACATTTTAGTGATACTGTGGAGGTTTACACGGGAGTTATGTCTTTTTGCTTTTATTTTTTATGGCCAACCAATCTTTTAGTTTTCTATTTTTATAAAAAAGTGAACTTTTTATTTTTCTATCACTACAATACATTCTGTTAAAAAAATATTTTAATTGATTTATTAATTAAAAAGAAGTCTTTTGTTCTATCACAACAACAGATATGTTATTTTCTTCTTCCATGAAAGCACAACAGAATACATATTTGCCATAAAAACCTTGATACAGTCAAATTTTCCCTATTAAATGCAAAAAAAAGTTCTTAATTTTTTTATTTTTCCTTTTCTTATTTTCATTTTTTGAAGATCTACTCAAAGAACTGGTTGAGTCTAACAATGCAAAAGGTTCATCTTTTCTTTATCATTGGCCTTAAGATTTTGGCCATCAGTGTGTGTGTGTGTGTATAAATAATTCAAATTTTAGCAACAACATATTTGGTGTTTTATGTCCTATCAGTTCAAATGAAGTAAAGTAAAAACTAATATATGTGTGATGGTAACAAATCATCTGCAAACCAAGCATCAGCTGTTTCTAAGAGAGACAGACATATTTCTTCAGTGGAAATAATAGGCATCTTTGCTTGAACTATCCCACAGGAGGAGGAAGCTACATGTAATAGATGTGGCAAAAAAATAAAGCCTGAAATATCTGCTGCAAATCGGTCAATAACTCTTGTTGTGATGGCAGCAACATCAGAAATTTTACCTCCATCCATTACCTGGATTAATTTCAGGAGAAACAGCCTTTATAGATAGGTGTTACTCATTGTTTTCTATGTTGATTTATTGTTTAGATGCTTCATTTGTACACACAATATTGAATTTTTGGCATCAGCTTCATTGAGATTTTTCTAGCCATTGTTTGGGGCATGTACATTCGGAGACATGTTTATAAAAAACTGTAAAGATCATTTCATGATTTTTATAATGCAAAAACATACAAAAAGAGAAAATTGCCTGACCTTTTGAATAACCCAACTGTGAAACAAGGAAGCTTCATACAAGAAGTCTTCTCGCTGAGAACTGATCAGAGAATCTTCATCAGAGAATATGGCACGGTATTGTGTGATGATATCAAATAAGTGAACTCGACTGGCTTCTATGGTCTTCGTGATATGGATATAGGCTGAAGAAATAATAAAAATGTATTTATACACAAATAGAAATGATCATCATTATTTCCCTCATCGCATGCTATATAACATATAGTGGGTGGTATATGAGTTTCCTTTCTTTATTGCGTTCAAATCACTAAACCGTTTAATACTGACAACACACTAAATTTAGTGTTTTGGATATAAATGGTTAAAATGGCAAAGTGCTTAATTTTGATATAAATAGTTCATCAACAGTATTTTGATGGAAGTGAATTAATGAACTAAAAAAATATACAGCATTATACATTACAAATGTTATTAATTTTTGTTAGCTTATGGCTTCATTTTTACCCAGAAGCTTTAAAATTTGTCATGAAAAGATATGCTAAATGAAAATAATTATGCATTGTGTCATACTTTTTATTTTAAAAATACATTGTTCTATAACAATGAAGACAGATTTTTCTTAATCTGGCTATTTAGCTTGAATATGTTTATATCAGTCAACATTTTTGCTGAGAGCAAATAAAGTGGTGGACATGGCTTATACCAAATGGAGTCTAATGATAATAGAATAGAAGTTCCCCACCCCAACTCCTCTTCCACTGAATTCAGAGCTAAAAAATAAAAAAAATAAAAATCTGTTGTTGGTACTGAGCCAATGATGAGATCTTTCCTGTTATAAATATATTAGCTTTCTTTAACAGAGAAGTGAACTAATATATAATAATAATAATGGCAGTATTTCTATTGATTACTGTATTCCTGTTAGCTTTTCTTTCTCCTGTTTTACCAATGCTAGATATATTGCCTTTATTATGATACAGAAAGTAGACTTCAAGGAACTGTGGTCAGGTAGAAGCAATTCAACCAATTCTCATCTATGAGAATGGATAAAGAGATCTATAGCCTGACATATATCTATTAGATGAAATTGAATTTGTCAGTTTCACTCTATATATTTCCCAAAACTGACATAAGCTATTTTACATCAGTTGCAGGTTGAAAAACTTTCAGAAAATCTGTGGCCAATACAACACCAGGACAGTATTCAAAAGTAGTTCAACACTCCAGAGACATCTCTTTTTTAACAAACTCTCAGAGGTCAGACTAACATTTATATATATATATATATATATATATATATATATATATATATAAGTAAAGGGAAAAGGTTATAATTGTTCCAATGAGAGAAAAATGTATATTTTAAAAAACGTTTTTGGTTATAAGGTGGATTTGTTTTAGTGTATATATTATATTTTATTCTTTATATTTTTTTTTGTGTGTGTGTGTGTGTGTGTGTGTGTGTGTGTGTGTGTGTGTGTCTCCATCAGGGGCTTCTGTGAAGTGTTAAAGGCAGTATACGGCCCTATGTATCAGGTTCAGAGTTCTAAGCACAGTACAGGTGGACAGATGCTCCTTACAAACAAGGCATCCATCCTAAACCAAGCCCTCTTCAGTGCTAAATGACTCCATGTACTTTTTTTGGTGTTGTTAGGAGCAGGGAAAAATACAAGATCTGCACAATGCAGTCATCATTGCCCTGAACACGAACAAAGGGGAAAAATCTGACTGCTCCAATTACTGAGGGATTACACTGCTCTCCATCGTAAGAAAGGTCCTTGCAAGAGTTCTGCTGAACAGGCTGGTACATGTCAGCGTGGACCAACACCTTTCAGAGTCAGTGTGGCTTCAGAACCAGCAGGAGCACAACAAACATGGTGTTTGTTCTCCAGCAGTTGCAGAAGTGTTCATTGATCTGATGAACGCATTTGACAGGTCATGGGGTGACTTGGCTGTCCTCCAAAGTTCCTGAATATGATCATCCAACTGCAAAAGGATTAGAGTGGCCAAGTTAGACATAACTGTGATCTCTCAGAGCCCATCTCGATTACCAATGGTGTAAAGCAGGGTTGCATTCTGGCACCAATTCTCTTCACAATATTCTTCAGCATGATGCTCAAGCAAGCCATGAAATATCTTGACAATGAGGACGGAGTCTACATCAGGTGTCCTGTTTAAGCTACGATGATTAAAAGCCCAGACAAAGACCCTGGAGCAACTTATCTGAGACCTCTGCTTTGCTGATGATGCTGCCCTTGCTGTTTCACACAGAATGAGCTTTGCAGTACACCACCTCCTGCTTCACAGAAGCTGCCAAACTTTTTGGGCTTGAAGTTAATTTAAAGAAGACAGAGGTACTCTACCAGCCTGCACCTCGAGATGAGTATCACCCTCCCCACATTATCATTGGCGCAACTGAGCTGAAGGCAGTCCATCAGTGTACCTACCTTGTACCATCACATCAGATGCTGGGATTGACAAGGAGGTCAACAACAAACTGCAAGCATTGCATCTGGCAAACTGTACAAACATGTGTGGTACAACAGACACCTGAAGAAGGGCACTAAGATCAGAGTATATAGAGCTGTCCTCCTCGCCACTCGCCTATACAGTTCAGAGTCATGGTCACCTAACAACACCCTCTATAACTCCTTGAACAGTTCCACCAGTGCTGCCTCTGCACAATCCTTAACATACACTAGATTGTCTTTTTGAGGACTTCAGTATTGGTGACAAAGATCACCAGCATTGAGGCCATGCTGCTGTAGTCCCAGTTATGCTGGGCTGGACATGTTTCCAGCATGGAAAATAATCATATGCCTAAAATTTTATTGTATGGTGAGCTTCCCACTGGCTGTCATGGCATAAGGGCACCAAGGAAGTGATTCAAAGATTGCCTGTCACATCAACCATTGCCAATGGTCAACCCTAGCTGAGAATTGTGATGCCTGTTGCCTCGCCACCAACCATGCTGTCTCTTTTCAAAATACCTGCAGGGCCACTCTCAGGAACAAGAGACAGAGGAAGAAATACTGCAATGCTATGCCATCAAGCTCAGGTCAGGATTTCAGCTGCAACTACTGCAACCATGTACACCTGTCTCGCATTGGACTTATCAGTAACAAACGTGCCTGCAAGTGACGTGTACTTACTCCCTCTTGATCTTCGTTTTGCAAAACCAAGCCATGATGATGATATATTATATTATATATATATATATATATATATATATATATATATATATATATATATATATATTATATATATTGGGCATTTAAGTCAGCACCCAGCAGAGAGTCTGTTTCATGATTATATGTAATCACTACTGGTTGTTGACTTCAATGTTCACTTTTATATTTACATATGCCATATCCTTGATATTGAGCACTTTAACCATACATATGGCATACTTTAAATTATATTTTATCATATATAAGTCAGAATAATAGAGAACAACACTGGAAGATAACATGATTGAAAGAATCAGTGCATATATTAAGCACTAATAACATTCTCAGTAGACCTAACAGAGTAATGAACACTATATGGGAGCCTTTAATTAAGAGAGAAAAACATTAGGCTAAAGGTTAAAAAAAGTAAAAAGTTATATACTTTAATTCTGCTAAAGAAGTAGATAAGCAACATTAGGGTTCAAATTTTGTTCCACAATTATCCTAAAAATCATGGCTAAGTCGATAAAAGCATTGGTTAAGTAAATTGGGCTACCTGGTAGTCAGAAGTTCAATCTCTGCATCTAATTCAATGGAAGAGACATCACAAAGATGAATTAACTAGACAGAATTAAGAGAGATGCTATAACATGGACAGCAGAATGAGAATAATCTGACAATATCATAGATTAAATAAGGTTTGAAATTCCTGAAATGTTAGTAAATATAACAAACTTCTAAAGGAGGCAAGATGATACAGTAGCTGAAATATAATAACAATAACAGATATTAATTCAAGTAAATCATCAGTGTATAATAAATAGAGATTGATAATTTCTAACAGCTTCTTCTCAAAATGAATGAAGTAAATGGTAAGAATTAGTTCAAATGGATATAAGTTTTTTGAGATTTTTTTTACTGTCATGGAACAAACTTTGTTGTCATCACCATGAATTAGATCAAAAACTTTTACAATAATCCATTAGTGATCTTGATTTATACCATCAACCTTGATTTTATTGAAAAATGAACCAAATGTAATGCTTTATATTATTAAGTTAAAGAGAAATCTCTAGATACCAAAGCTCATAAAATTTAGCTAACAGAACATAACATTGTAATTCTCAATTGAAATGATCATATTTGATCTTGAAGGAGGATCAGGTTGATTCAAGAATATCCAATAATCTAGTACAAATATGATTTAATAATCTTGATTAAACATTCCTATGTAATCTCAATTCATGAATTCATGAAGTGTATATTTATGTTAGATAATTTATAGCCAAATACTACCCTGGCTTTGGCTGGGGGTAGTTTCAAAATAATATTAAGCTGAAGCCCCAGGGAGCCATCCACCCAGGCAGTATTTCTCCTTCAAGAGTGGTGGCCTTCACCCAGGCAGTACCTCTCCTTCAGGAGGCGGAGTCATTACCCAGTATCTGAGGTGTCCACAGAGGGAGAAGTGCCAATGTGGCTTGAGCAATTTTTCTAGAGTATTGTTGTTAAACAAACTTTAAAGCTCAAACTTATGTCATATTCAGTAGCGATGTGGGCACACTGAAAAATCCATGTTTTTTAGCCACATGAAATTATATATTTCATGTTATATGGCAATGAAAATGTTCATTGAATTCGCCAAAAGTGAAAACTTCCTCTAGAATGTGGTATTAAAATTATAAATATGAGAAATTCTATATCCATTAGAAAAGACAGAATAAATAAATGCTCAGGTCTTTGACTAATTATATATATATATATATAGCACATATAGACTGATGTTAATAAAACAGTGCTAAAACATTCTAAATTCTGTAGAAATTTTTCTTAAGTTAACACCCTTGGGAACAAATCAGTCAGTTTTAAATTTTATTAGTATAGACTACTTTTCTTCTAATTCCCCAAGCATTCATTGAATATCCTTCAGTTTATTTCTGACAAATTGATGTTAATGTTAGCAATTAATAATTTTAACATTTCATGATAATGTTATTTATTTGATCATGAAAATT